GACACTTTCAAAACCCCTTTGAAAACCCTTTATTTCCTTTGGCTTTAAACCAGACTGAGTTACTTTTTTATCTGTCCTGCTTTCATCATGTTTTTTCACTTTGTGTTTTCTTTTTTCAATCTCTTACCCATATCCCATAACCACATCATTTTCTGGAACTTTGGTCAGCAAGTGTTTTTAAAATGTGCTTAGAAATAAATCTGACTTCACAACTTACAGTCAGCCAATCAAATCATCCTATAGTTTAACTGTGAAACAACTGGATTTGATTTTTTAACAATGCCAACATTGGGCTTAATCCATCTGATGCGCAAAGATGTCAGTACATTTACTCAAGCACCATTCAAGTGCTTTCTTTGCACTGCATTTAAGTGTTTTCCACTTCTGAATTGGGTGTATGTGGAAAATGTACATGAAATAATGATATTTTACAATTCAGCTTAAATACAATTTGTAGCAAAATCTGTACTTTTTGCTCAAGTAGATTTGTTGGAAGGTTACAGATACCTTTAAGCTAAGATAAGGTAAGATTAAACCACATAACACACAATCATGTTAACAATATCTTTGAATCATTTTCGGAGTTTTAAATAGAAACAAACTGCATATTAATAACTATATAATTTAACAAACTGTAGGATACAGTTATAAAAAGAGGGGTGAAATGTTGTTTAATGTGTATAATTTATCACGTTACCCTTTGTACTTTTGAGGATTAAACTTGTATTAAGTCTTCCCATACTGCCACAGTAAAGGAAAAGATGTTTGCACTTTTCACAGCACTGCACGTCTGTAAACACGTGCTGTGTCCCTGTTTTGCTTCGTAGACAAATTACTTTGTTGAGTTTAAAATTCAGCTCGGCTGTAGTCTGCATTAACAGTTTATGAGATGCAACTCGCAGAGACGTTTATGGTGATGAAAGTCACAGTTCATTTTCTCACTGTGGTTAATTTCTGAGCTCTACTTGCTGCTAATGTTACCCGGTGCAACCAGCTGCTGTGTTCACTGATGCTTCACATTGCAAAACTGGCCTGCTAGGAGCGATACGTTTATGCAAAAACTCAGCAAAGTGTGGCTGGGAAGTCCATAATGTTTCTGTACTCCAAATGAAACCACAGCACGTACTAATTTAACTGCCACACCTAATTCAGTTGTAAAACCGCAAACGAAACGTCCTTGCCCTGAAACCCCGCAAACACTCACAAGTTATTCCATAAAGGTAAAAGAGAGGCGTCTTCTATGTGGTGGCGACGACATTGTTCTCTGCAGCTAGCGTAGCTAAAGCTAAACTTAAGCTTCTAAATCACCTGTTAATAAATACTCTACGCAGCAGCGCTACGTCTCACTAGCGATACCGACTACGGAATTAAATGCTGAACGCCCGTACACAGACACGGAAATCATACCTTCGATGTAATTTATATATTTTCCAGCTATGGTTTGAGTCGCTCGGCAACCTAGCTAGCACCCACAGTACAGCCTTCCATTTTCTGGACCTTGCTGCAACATACTCTCGCGAGAAGTATTCGCATGGAGAGCGACGTGGTTTCTTCTTCGTCAGACCACGTGACTTTCGCGCATTGCTTTGTGGGTACCCGTGGCAACAAAATCAAAACACTGCATCAAGCGCTAGTATTTACAGCACCGGTAATCATTAATTCTGCGGTTTTAATCCCTACTTGCATTTTATTTGCCCCAAAACAGTTATGTACAAAACGACGGAGAACACGACAGGTCCGTACAAAGACAGACTTGACGAAAAGGCAAAAAAAAAGGACAACGAAAAAAATCAAATGAGTGAAAGGGTTAGACGCATACGAGCATACGGAGTGGAGTAAGGACGTTAGCGTGCTGCCCAACTTTCATCACGCACATATTTATTATTATATGGTCCTAAGTTTTAGTGCATACACTCACAAAATGTTTAGTAACTTCAGATCCCTGCAACAAGCCCAGGTCCAGTTGACTTTGGTGATTTGGACTATTCCATTTCACAGGTGTTGTTAATTTCTTTCCCTTTATCTCATGTACAGGCCAACGCAATCTATTTATTGTTTCAGGTTGTAGTATTACACAACGTTTTCAGATCTAATAGAAAAAATTTTGAGTGTGTCATAATTCATTCAATTTATTGTCTTTATTTATAACTGGCATTATTGTTTCTTTCTATTATAGAATCTTACAAGAAAGAGGCAAAATTGTATTCCATTGTGCTTTATTAGCTGCTTCGGTAAAATAACAAATCAACAATGCAAAAAAAAACATTGCAAAACAACATACTGGAAAACAGTTATTCATTACTTGATTGCTTCAATACAACACCTGGGCACATATATGCGGGACTTTTCCATATTTTTTGCATACTTTTTTTTGTTTTGATATCGCTCTCTCTCTTAACCGATCAAATATCGCTGTGGTAGCAGCTTTACACTCGGTATGACCCAGGTTGATAGAGGGTGCCCATTCTGGATCGCATTCCAGCATTTTGTAGGGTGGTTTTCCTACAAAACACAACAAACATTATCCCGCAAAGCCACAGTGAACGCAGCATAGGGTGGAAATTAGTGATGTGCAATACACTTATTTCCTTTCCGATCCGATACCAAGTAATATTCAGGGTGGTATCGACGATACTAATCCGATACCGATACTTTGTACAAAAACTTATTTTATTTATTGTATCTCAAATTATAGCATCATAATGATTACAGGACATCAGATTACTTGTTCTTATCACTTAATAATGCAGAGTTCATCATATAGAAATAAAAAACCTGAAGTTGTGCGCTATTTGAACACCTTGCCTGCCAGCAGGACTAAAGGACCCCGTGAGAGACGTCTGTCTCGCCCTAGCAGCACCTGTCCCTGTCCTCCTCTTCAGTTCACCTCAACATACGGTCATCATATAACGTGAGCTCATGACGTACTATGGTAAATGGCCTGTATTTGTATAGCGCTTTTACTAGTCCCCCCTAGGGACCCCAAAGCGCTTTACACACCCAGTCATCCACCCATTCACACACTGGTGGAGGCAAGCTACAGTTGTAGCCACAGCTGCCCTGGGGCAGACTGACAGAAGCGAGGCTGCCATATCGTGCCATCTGCTATCGTGCCTTCTGGCCAACACCAGTAGGCAGTAGGTGAAGTGTCTTGCCCAAGGACACAACGACTGAGACTGTCCGAGCCGGGGCTCGAACCGGCAACCTTCCCATTACAAGGCGAACTCCCAACTCTTGAGCCACGATCGCTCTACCCGGCTTTCTTTAGACCACGAAGGCCGGGTCCTCAGGTGGAAGCAGCCTCTGAATTTGGACACCCCAGCTGTTTCCGGGCCGGCCAATAATAACGGTGACATTTAACGTATTTTATCCGATAAATAAACCCTGTAAAATGTATTTATCACCCCCCCAACAGCTCTTTTGAATGTCTCCCTAGTACGGCCACAACACCTCACTCTTGGAGCACTTTTTTGCCGCATGTATGGCAAACCACGTCTCAGCTGTTTGTGAAGGTAAAATACGTCCGCACAATTACAATCAGCAATTGTGAGTGCGCACGCCAAGGGGCTGCGAGACATTTATGCCGCTGTATTTCGCACATGACTATGAAAGGCGGAAGAGGAAGTAGTTCCTTTGAATGTAGATCATCCGAATGTTATAGTTTCTTTCCACTGTGTTCCTGTTAATGATAAACTACAAATTTACTCTAAATTACTAAAATATCGATATTTTAATGTGAGAATCGATTCTAGAACATAAATGATTGGTATCGGAGGAATCGATATTTCAGGATCGATCCGCACATCACTAGTGGAAATGCTTGGAGCAGACTAACATGTAAGCTGGAGTGTTCTGGAACGTTATATTTGGTCTTGGAATGGCTGCAATCCAGGCCATCCGTCGGCTCTTTATTACTTTGGAAACACGGCTTAAACAATTTCTCCTCCACGACGTAATCCGATAACAACCGATCTCTTTACCCGTCGGCTTCCCGTGGCTGTCATGCGACCGGCTATTGCAGTTAATAATACAACAGCTTCTTGCCATTTTCTGTGTTTCTTTTTATCGCTGTGTGACTGACTGTTTTCATGTGAAAGCCTGCGTGTGCTAGTACCGCTTGCCACTCGTTCCCAGAATCCTTAGCGGTTTTACCCCTGAATGACGTCACCTTTTCAATCTCTATGGGTTTGAAGAGGATGTCCAACACTGAGGTCTACTGTGCTAACATAAATAACGTCAAATATGTTTAATGCTTTTGTTATTTTAGTTTTCCATTACAAGTTTTATGTTGTTGTTTTTTATCAGTGTGGTTTCTATTAATTTCTAAAGTGAATGTGTTTCGGGGTTTTTTTGTGTTGATTTTAACTTTTTTTTTTTCTCAGCCTTGTCTCTAATTTTGTCACCAAAGGGCTCAACCACCGCTGTCCCTGTGATGTACTCATTCCTAATTTTGTTCACTCCCAGTGAATATCTTGGCATTTCAGCTCTGTCTCCTTATGTCAGTGCCACCCTCTTCAAACTATACTTCAAAGGACCCCCTCCACCTTGCCTGCATTCTCTTCACTTCTCTTGCGGCACTGTCTATTGCTTTGGATGATTGACCCTAGTTTGTCTGTGAAGGACACATTGGTGGACAGACATCTGGGACTCGCCACCAATTGTTCTTAGAACTGAAGAAGCTTCTCGGATGAGAGGTGAAGCGTCTTCAAGGAAATGCTTTTCTTTCCAAGCTCCTTAGATTGACCCCAGTTATTTATCTACTCCTTGCAGTTTCGCTGTTGCAGTCAGAGTAATATGTAATATAATATTACTAACAAACAACTAATTGTGGAGAAAGTAGATTTAAAGTCATGCAGACTTCTCAATCCAAAGCCACCTCAAACTGGTTGTGCTGGTAAATGGGGCTGAACTAGGAATGAATAAAACAAATAATTCCCTGGTGCCGCCCCGCCAAAATCTTTCTCACATCACACTCAAAACAACTCATGCACCAAACTGACGATTTTTTATTTATTTTTTTCTTCACGGATCCATTTATTTTTATATACAATATGTAAACAAGAACGAGACACAAGCTCAAAACAGACATGCTCACAGGCAGTAATATCCAGCCAAAATGCAGTTTCTATTAATGTCTACCCAGTTCTTAGCAGCAGTCTGACCAGGATTTACTTTGGATATCTGGTCAAACTGGTTTTGCTTAGAGCTGACATTCATATAAAGTAATATACTTTCCAATAACTTTTTTTTGTTTTGTTTTTTTAAACACATAGAAATGTAATTCCAACAAACATACTATAAAAACATATAACACTATAAATATTGTTCAGGTATCTTCTTACAAAAAACTTTGTACAGTTTAAATTTTTAGTTCATTTTCATAAATTGGATCTCTTTCTGTAGTCCTATACAACATAAAACTACAATACAAAACTGGTAGGAGACAGAAATGCCACCACTGACATGAAGAGTACATGGCTGAAACCATTTTTAAACTTGCATTGCTAAATTAAAAAAACAAAACAAAAAAACCCAAACACCTTAGTTGGCATGAAGCGGTGGTTTATACCAAAGATAAAACTTGCATCGGTCAAAAGATCTCTGATGGCACCATGATAAATGTTGATGGCTGTTTCAAATGTTTTGTCTCACAATATGGTGAACTGTCGGCAAAATAAAAAACAACCCTGAAGGAGCAGCAATGGATGTGATAAAGACAAAAGTTTTATGTGGATTCATACAATCTTGCTCAGAGATGAGAAAGTGGTGAGAGAGCTGTAACATAACTACAGTATGGCAAACATATTGACTCACATTTATTTCTCAAGACAGACAGCTTTCACAAGGTGAATCCACCTGAACATAGATGAGGAAACTGAGAATGACATTTGAACCAAAAACTAGGTGTATATAAGGGAATGGGAAAAAGCGATTTGTCACAGAGGTGTGGGCCTTCCGGCACCACATCTGAACCAAGGAGTCCCACAGTGACCTCCCAAAATGTGCCCATAGTGTAGCAGTTAGGTCACAGTAACACCAGCACTGTCCTTGCTTTTGTCCATATATGTGGGAGAGTTGCTTTTGTCCGATATTGATCCCGAGCCTGAAGGCACGGTCTGCGTGGCGGGAGAGTGGCCCGATGGTTTGACTGACGGCTCTGAGTTGGGGTCTGCCTCCGGCTCCTGCTGCGCTGTGGCTGTTTAGATTTTAAATAAATAATAATAATTTAAGAAGAGAATATATACAGGTTGTCTAAATCATCTTCGCACAGTTTGTTTCTTAAACCACTGGTTAGGTAAGAAGGGAAAAAATGTCTACAATTCTCATGAATGATGTAACGCATTTGTGTTTATGATTTCACATTTGCACTGTACCTTAGGGGGCTGAGCTACCAAATAAGAGTGGGGAAGAAAAACGGACAAAATTGGAGACGATTTCATGTTGAATTTAAATCTAACATTAAACCTGACATCACATTAAAATTACCAAATAGGAATACAATGTAAGAATACAAAAGAAAAAGAATATCCCACTGAAACTGAAGAGCACTTACATTAACTAAACAAAACACTGATGACAAGTCTGTTGTAATAAAGCTCCTAACCATTTCTACCCTGCTTCTTCTAACCAATTTCTTAATCTTTTGTGTCATTTATAGGTCTGTTTATTCAGTGGGCAACTTTATTCCTTTTAAAAAGTGTGATGCAGTGATTACATGACCAACGAATGACCGACTGACAGGTAAATATAGAAGGCGTCACCATAGTCACTTTTAGCTTAGTTTTACTAATAGTTTAATGCTTTAAAAAAATAAAATAAAATTACATCCATCCATCCCAGGTATGCTTTGTCTTACCCGATTGTGTGCAGGACTTCATGTGCTCTGGCCAATGGGCTTGCTGGCAGGGGTAATCACAGTAACTGGTGTTCCAGCAGCAATAGAAGATTGCCTCCTTCCGACAGTTAGCACACCACTGTTTCTTTTTGGTCTCGTCCACCGCTTGCTGCTTTTCTAACTCCATTTGCTTTTTCACCTCAGCCACCAATCGTTCTCTTTCCTGCTCCAAACTCTGCCTCATCTCTGCCATTGTTAGTTCTGCATTTAAAAGACACCAAAACAAAAAACTTGAAACTTGTATACCATGTCGACACCTGTTTAAAATTTGATGGCGAGGAAAAGGCAGGTTGAAGATCAAATAAGCTCTGCGGAGTGACAGAGGTAAATGGGTATCTTACCCAGATTGTGCTTCATCTCTGACAACTCTTGCTGATGGAGCCACTGGAGCTTCTCGATCTCTATCCTTAACCGTCGAATCTGTGGTAAAAATACACTGTGATGATAAATACTTACGTATTATTACCACAGAAAGTGTTGCTTTGACTGACAATCTTTACCTCTGCAATCGTGTTTCCCGATGTGCTTTTGGAAAGATCATTGTAGATTTCGGTCATCGTCCCCTTTATTGTGTCCATAATCTGCAAAGTATTGGTAAAAATGTGACATTACTGTTGAACTCAGTTATAACCTTTGCAAACAAAGTTAATAGAGTAGAATTTTAATTTATATGAAAAGGCTCCAACTTACTTTGTTTGTGTATTTAGCTATATCTGCAGCTACATCAGCTGAGACTGTGGGGATCTGCAAGTCACCAGACATAAAAGGAGAGCTACCAGATGTGACCTGGGCAGATGTTGATGAGGATGCACTCAGAGGTGGGTCTTTTTGTTGCCCTGCAGAGGATGATGATGACAACAAAAAATTAAAGGGAAATTATAAAACTTCAAGTACACTTTTTATTTTGTTATGGTGACTAACGTGGACATGACTAATTGTATTGGTGTATATACCCTTGGCTGCTTGTCTGGTCTGATAGCGAGTGCTTGAAGAAGAGTTTTGCTGTTGTGGGCTGCGCGTCTGCACAGCCGACTGCTCTCCATCCTGTTGCTGTTGCCTCTGCATCTTCTGCATATGCCACTTCTGAGAAGACGTTTGAAACTTTGTTGGATTCCAAACTACAGCCCGCTGCACAGCTTGAGCAGTCTCTTTAGGCAGTAGGGGACGCTGTTTCTTTACAGCTGTAGTCACTGGTGAAGAAGTGGAGACAGTAGAAGGTGTACTGGTGGATCCACTGGTGGTGGTCGTGGCACTGGGCTGAGCAGAAGCGGCAGAGGAAACGAGGTTGAGCGCCGATGTGACAGAAGGCTGCGACGAGTCTTTCATGCTGGATGTAACATCACGTGCTGGTGCTACTGATGTAGCAGATGAAGGCAGTTTGCCTAAGCAGTAAAAAAAAAAGTCTCTTATCGGTGAGGCGTTCTGCATTTCAAAATCAGCCACATTAAACAGATTTAACATTTTATAGCATATATAAGATTATATTTATTTAGAGCATTTCAAAGTATGATTGAGATCACTATGTAGACATAGAACCCAGTCACTTTGTTTCTTGTCTGAATGCATGGCATTTGAAAGCAAAGCTTCCTGATAATTACTGGAATATATTGTCCTCTCCATTTAGTACTGTTTCTCTGCCACTGACTGCCAAACAAAGCCGCAGTTTTATATTTCCG